TCCCACACAACCAAGGAATCCTGAAGACACCAGTTTGGAAACTATCATTCTGGGCAGTCTCAAAAAGAATGGTTTGTGGCTAGCACATTGAGTGTAATGGGCTGAGACAGAGCCCCTAGAAATTAAATGATGTGCTCAAGGTCACAGTTAGGCAAGTCACATTGCTAGGCAGGGCCTAAGTGCCTGACCCCTAGGACGGTTCCTTCCACCCCCGTCTGCTGCCTGGAAGGTTGAGGCAGTGAGAGTGAAAAGATGAGCCTCTCATATGGCCCTTATTCTGCTTGTTTATATAATCATCTAAGCATTACGTAGATGGAGTTCAAATTTGCGGAATTTTATTTTATTTTATCATTCTCTTATATTTGTCAGTATCTTTCAGGACTAAGAGGATGTGGTAAGGTGGATTCTTTAGCCCATAGTCAACTATTGATAGAATGGCCATGGTTTGAGGGGACATATTTACACATATTGTCTTACATATGCATGATTAGTTTCCATAAACGTGGGGCCAGCAGGTGTGGTGGTGAAAAGCACTGGACTTTCACATGCCGACCATGGTTCAAGTCCCAGACCTGGCGGCTTGCTTTCTCTTTTCCTCTCTTCCCCCCCCCCCTCCCCACCCCAGTCAAATTTTAAAATAAATAAATTTTTTTAGAAAAGTTAAATAAAATAATTCTTTAAAAAAAAAACCAAGCTTGGAACCAGCAGATGGCATGATGGTTATGTCACTGGACTCCCATGTAGCTGACTGTGGTTTGATTCCGGACCCAGTGGCTTGAAACTAACACCGAGCACATGTGTGTGCATGCTCAAAATCCCGAGAAGAGAATAGAGGAGAAGGGATTGCAGTGTGGCCTCTCCTCCGGGGGTGGGGGAGGAGTTGATTTCTCACTTTCTGTCTCTCTAGCAATCACACACACACTATAGCAAAAAGCTCTCTTTAAAACAAAAGAACCACACAAGTTTATTATGGTCGTGGAGGTGGGAAGTCCAGATGGGTTGGCGAACCCCACAAGTTTATTATGGTCGTGGAGGTGGGAAGTCCAGATGGGTTGGCAGGGCTGCATTCCCTTTGGAGGCAGGCTGTAGGATAGACTATGTTTCTTGCCTTCTCCAGCTTCTAGAGGCTGCCCACATTCCTTGGTTTGTGGCCTGCATCACTCCGACCTCTGCTTCTGCCGTCATGTCTTCTCTCACTCTGGCCCCTGCCTTTCTCTCAGAAGGACTCTATGATGATGTTGGGCCCACTTGGACCTCCCCATCCCAAGATTCTTAACCTGACCATATCCGCAAAGTCCTTTCACCATGTTTTGAGAATTAGCATGTGAACATCTTTGTCAGCCATTATTGTGCCTCTTGCATTGCATAAAATATCCCAAAAGGCAAAGAAAAGAAGTTGAAATATTGGTTGCCCTGAAGAGGGAAACCAGATGGATGGTCAGGAATTAAGTATAGTAGGATGATTTTTCTCTGTACCTTCTTATCTTTATGGGTATATTTATTTGCATATGCATGCTCTTCATGTAATTATTAAAGCCCTTGGCTGTCATTTATGTATTGTTCACAGATCTGTTCAAAATTCACCCTGACCACAGTAGCACAAGCTGAGCACTGCAGGGTGAGACCTTGTGCGGGGCCCACGTTCATTCCTAGCCCACTCAGAATCTGGGCATGGTGGCACATACCTGGAGGCTCAGCTACTCAGAAGGCTGAGGCAGAAGAATTGGGACACAGTGAGAGACCCTGTGTAAAACACTACACCCACACACTCACTGCACACAAAGAAAGAAAAAAACCTAGGTGACCAGTTAAGCCTCTTGGTTGAGCACAAATACAAATTTCTCAGTGGTTTTTTTGTTTTGTTTTGTTTTGTTTTAAATTTTGGCCAGCGTCAGAATAGTTCATATGTAACTTGAGTCAAGTTCAAAGCATCCACTGAGGGCTGATGAGTACCCTACCCTGTAGGGTTTGGGGTCCCATGTTGGCTGCCTGAAGCAGCGTGTCCACCAGAGCCTTCCGCAGTGATGGAAGTGTCCTCTGTGCAATCCAGTGTGGTAGTCACCAGCCACGTGTGACTCGTGGGCACTTGAAATGTTGCTACTAAAACCAAGAGACTGAATTTTTCATTTCCTTTATTTACTTTTGATTACATTTAAGTAGCTACATGTATCTAGAGTCTACTAATTGAACACTAGCTTTAGAGAAAAAGAGGTGGGCAGTTTCCGGACCCCTCTGATGGCCAGGTTGTAGTTTAGCAGTGAACTTCTAAACTTTAGGTTCCTTGTTGCAACTGCATCTTGCTCCATTGGAAGACTATTGGTTAGGGGTGACTCCTCAGGGTCCTCCCTAGGTGGGACAGGTGTCCCATAGATCTCAGCCTTGACGCTTCTGCAGTTTTTCTGATGTTCCTGAAAGTGGTTCTGTGAGGAATCAAATACTAAGTTTCTTCTTTCACCGTGGGGCTAGAAAGAGTACCTTTTTTTTAGAGGAACCTAGGGCCATGTCCTGGAGGCTTTCCAAAGCAGGCACATTTGCTCCCTTAAAGAGTGGCTCGTCCACCATCCCCTTCCAGTCTCACCAATCTTCCTTCCAGCTCTGCCATTTCCACACTGGGGTAGGAAGTTTAAAAGCAACCAATCTGAGCAAAACTCTCCTCTTCCTTTTGCCCTCTTCTTGTTTGAGGGGACTTAGTCCCCTCTTTCCCCCAGCCCTGGAAACAGTGAACCTGTCAGAGGCAGGAGCATCCTGCTGGAACTGTGGGGCTGGTGCCTGGCTCAGGAGTGGCTTTGGACTCCCGCCGGGAGCCTTTAGTTGTCAGTCTGTCCTCACATACCTGCGCTCCGAGATCTGCAGCCTCTGCGTGAGCAGAGATGAGAGTCAGGGGACAAAGTGGAACATGCTGGCTCCCCGGATCACTCCATCCCAGGCAGCAAGGACATCCGAAGTCCTGGAGTCTGATCCTGGCTCTGCTGCCAGCAGCCCTGACCGCACTGCCACCCAGCCACTTGTGCTTCAGTTTCCTACTTGTCGCACAGGTGCACTCACACACTTGGGTCCCTTCAGCTCTCTGCTTTGTGCTTCCCACCGGGAAATGGGGACCAAGGGAGGACCTGTCTGCCTGTGCTGTACTTTCTCACTGGCAGTCCCAGGCTCTTGCCATTATGAGAGGTTTTTCTTCACTCTCTTGTCAAAGGGCAGAGCGGTTTCTGCCTCAGAGGGAAGGGGACTTGCCCAGCAGCTGGTAAGCAGCGATATTCTGAGGCCACATCCTGGGAGATTGCGTTCCCATCATCCCTACATTCATTCTTCTAGGAGGGTTGTCAGGCAGCAGGTGCCAGATGTCGGGGCCCAGCTTGGTACGATGTTGTTCGACAAAGGGGAGGCAGGACTCGGAGACCCCTTGCTTGGATCCAAGACTGAATGAGAGCTGCCGTGAGGGCGCCTCCTGGTCGGCTGTGGGCCCGCGAGTCTAAGTAGCAGGAAGTGTGGTGTCGAGCTGCCCGCTTATAAAAGGGCTCCCCGTGCCAGGTGGACGATAGCAGTGTCATCACATAAATGTGCCCACCTCACTGTGAGTAACCTTTCTTTCCCCTCTCTGGATTTTAGCCCTGATCCCTTTGTCCTTAACAAACCAGCGTTCTAGGTCTGTTGTGAGGCTGTGCAGAGACACACGCTCATTATCCAGTTAATCTCCTTTGGCTGTCACATATTCAGCCCACAGCAGCATTTGCCTGTCTGTAATTCGAAAGCCTTTTTTTCATTGTCACTTACGGGAACTGCTGAATGACTCATTATGCCGTGGTCAGCCCTCTCCAGTTATTTGCCACAATAGGCCTGGCCAGCCAGATTAAAGTGTGCAGTAACTGCAAGCTGCTTGTGTCATCAGTTCAGGATCTGTGTCTCCGGTCAGAGCTCTGCAGTGAACGTAGTGGGGCAAGTGGAGGCAGTTCATTCTGGAGTCGCGCCTGCTCCTTGCACCTGCTCTGGATTGGTGCCTGGACTCAGGAAGTGTGGTGTCGAGCTGCCCGCTTATAAAAGGGCTCCCCGTGCCAGGTGGACGATAGCAGTGTCATCACATAAATGTGCCCACCTCACTGAGTAACCTTTCTTTCCCCTCTCTGGATTTTAGCCCTGATCCCTTTGTCCTTAACAAACCAGCGTTCTAGGTCTGTTGTGAGGCTGTGCAGAGACACACGCTCATTATCCAGTTAATCTCCTTTGGCTGTCACATATTCAGCCCACAGCAGCATTTGCCTGTCTGTAATTCGAAAGCCTTTTTTTCATTGTCACTTACGGGAACTGCTGAATGACTCATTATGCCGTGGTCAGCCCTCTCCAGTTATTTGCCACAATAGGCCTGGCCAGCCAGATTAAAGTGTGCAGTAACTGCAAGCTGCTTGTGTCATCAGTTCAGGATCTGTGTCTCCGGTCAGAGCTCTGCAGTGAACGTAGTGGGGCAAGTGGAGGCAGTTCATTCTGGAGTCGCGCCTGCTCCTTGCACCTGCTCTGGATTGGTGCCTGGACTCAGAAGGCAGACATTTGGACAGTCATCGTGGAATGGATGAATGTGTGGACCATACAAGTCAGGGACCTCAGAATAAGGCAAAAGGCTCAATGATTCCCACTTTATTATGCATACAAATCACCTGGAAATCTTATTTAAAATGCATGTCTCTGCCCCATCCCGAGAGATCAGATTTAGTTGTTCTAACCCGAGGCTGAAGACTGCATTTTAAGCATGCATTCAGGTAATTACTTTCCAGGTAAACATCATCCAGCAAACAGCTGGGGATTTAAGGAGACTGATGGGTTCAAACAGTTTTAGGACACCCAAGAAACAATGAGAGTGCATTCCATTCTTTTACCTGGGAGGCAGGTAGGTTTGATTGAATGGGCCAGCTTGGAGTGATGTTGAAGATCCCGAGGTCGTGCTCAGTGTGCTGGGGCTATTAATTAGGGATGTCTTCCATAGGTACATGGACCACGCCTGTCATTTTGGTGGCCTGCATACAGGGCCTAGAGACCAGCTCCTAGGCTGGCACAGGGCAGCAGGTCAAGATGCAGTGAGATAAGGCACTGGGGTAGATGCAGAAAGCAGCAGATGAGACATGAAGGGCACAGTGCATCGTGGTGAGAGCAGAAACAGTGGCACCAGATCGAATCCCACCTAACCACTTAGCGGAAAAGTGCAACGTTGGGCTGCTTCGTTAACTTTGTGCCTTCATTTCTTCATCTGTAAGTTAGGAATAACATTGCCTTCCTCAGAAAAGGAGGTAGTGGGGTTCAAGAGGTAAACTATACAGAGCAAATAAAATAGTGCCTTGCACGCATGAGGACAGTGTGTGCCAGCTCTTACTTTTATTGTGAGCTTCTTGTAATTTGGGGGGACAAGGAATTTTCAGCTCTTTGGAGAAAGGAACTTATGGGGTCTGAACCCTGTTCTGGTGGCTGGACTGAATTTCATGCCAGAGGAAGGTTCCCTGGGTGATTCCGACTGTCACAACACTTCTTTCTCTTAGAAAAAGCCTTTAAAATGCAGGAGCTGGCTGATGCCCCAGACAACTTATCCCTGTCTGTGGAGCTGTGGGAGGCAGCCGCTGAGATACCCAGTAGACAATTCGTGGTTTTCATTTGAAGTTTTGAAGAGGAAGTGTTCAGTTGGATTCGTGCACAGGGAGAGAGGGACCATGCTTCAGAAGGAGGTTGCTGGCAGTACTGGGGCAGTAAAGACCATGACCAGCATCCAGACCTTCCTGGGCTGGCGAGAATGGTGGCCCGTGAACCCCAACCACTGTGCCGCTGTTACAGCAGAGCCTCCAGGGCAGCGGCAGCCTGGGACACGTTCTCCTGAGGCTCAGAGAGCTCACCTGAGGCTCTCGCTTCCCACCTATCTTACTGGTTTTCACCTCAGGACATTTATGAAGCTCCTTCTGTATCCCTAGCCATATGCTGGGTGTCGTGGGGCTACAGAAGAGGCGGCTTACATCACAGGCACTTTACACTCTGGCTGATACACCAGGCATTTATCACATTAAAAACAAAACCTGTACTTACTCCGCACTGTCTGCAAGGGGGCCCTGGTTTACGCCTTTCAGCTTTTACCATACGCAGTGGAGAGGCTGAGCTGCAGGCCGTGAAGGGCCCCGTGTTCCTGTAGCAGTTCTGAGGGAGAACGCACTGCAGACAGGGGTTTAGACCACGAGCTGGAAGGGTGGTAGGATTTCCAGAGGAGAGGGATTGCTACGAGCAGAGCACAGACAGCGTGTTCTGGAAGCGGCAGATACACCATTTGGGTAAAGCATAGAATCTGCATGGGGGCTGAGGTCAGGATGGTAGTAATCTTTGACTGCCAGGCGTGGGAGCTGTTGAACTGCTCTGAGTAGGGGCATGTCACAGGAGCATAGAGCAGAAGGGAGATTCATTAACTAATGGTGGAGTTGGGCTGCTTTGGGAGTCACGTGAGAGGCAGGAGCAGACTGCAGTCATGGCCAGGCATGAACCCTTGACCTCAGTACAGTGGAGAAAGACCTGAGAGGGACGGGCTGTGAGGGACATGTGAGGAACACCGCCGATGCCGTCTGCCTGTGGGATGTAGGTGTTCTCACCCACTAGTCAACCTCCTCTTGTGTTTTACAGATTCGGCCGGTTATTGAACAAACCTTTCCTTTTTCCCAAGTTCCCGAAGCCTTCCTGAAGGTGGAACGAGGCCATGCACGAGGGAAGACTGTAATTAATGTCGTTTAAATAAATACGCAGTGTAGTGATGGCTGGCTGTCTTGCTTGGTGAGTGCCTGTGCGCCCAAATGTCCCTAGCCATCCCTTTCAAATGCTTTTTGCTAGGTTAAATGTCAAGTTCCACAATGTACGTTTAAAAAAATAAACACACACACTTTCTTTGCTAGCGATTGATAGAAAAATATCAGCACTTGGACCTGTCGGTGAGCGTTACGTATCATTTTCTTCAAGCTGTTCCTCCTACCAGCCTTGCAGTCCGCAGTGACATCTGCTCTTCTTGTGGCTCAAATTCTATTTTATCTTAATGTCTGTGAGATTCTAAAACTTCTAGTGGATGGGTGGATGTCGGCATGAAGAACTTCCCTAGGGCCAGTTCCTTCTTGAAATGATCAGTGAGTACTTTATTTCATTGTTGTTGGATTTAAGACATGGGCACTACCTAGAGTTCCCAGGTACCTTCCCCCAAGCCACTCACTAGAGACCAGCCTGGGCCTTAAAGACTAAAGTGAGGCTGCACCCAGCGGCAGGAGGCTGACGTGAACCCTGATGTCCCTCTGGATGTACTCATTTAGGGCACACAGGGACTTGGCTCTCCGCCACAGCCCCCTGCTGAGGCTGCTGCACCTGAAGCACCTTTCTGCACCAAAGGACGTCGAGGACTGCAAGGATGCCTCCGAGTCGCAACAGCTGCAAGCTCCACTGAGTAGGTGGTGTGGTTCTTCTTGTCCGCATCTACCACATCCAAGGCCACGTTGAAAGTGCTGGCCTTACTTGCAGCCAGGAGCCCACTCAGGGTCTCCAGGGTGGGCTTCAGCCAGAGGGCTATCTTGTGCTCTACCTTAGCCTGCCTCCAGAGGAGCCACACACTTCTGGGGGGGCCTGTGTCCACCTCACAGGTCACCACATGCCTAGCCAGGGTAGCCAGTAGAGGTGCCCAGGTCCAGCACCTTCTTGGCCTTGATGAGCCATGCCAGGTTGTCCAGAAGCTGAGCCTGCTTACGGGTCATCATGGAATCCCCCTGTAGCTGCTCCTGTGTCAGTCGGCAGCCACAGGTTCCACGGTGCTGGGTGCTCATGCGGGGAACAACTCAGCAGATGCTGCCACAGTGGACTCTTGTCAGGGGGCAGCAGTGCTACTGTCCTCAGAATCACCATGGGGGCACTGTCTCTGTAGGAAGAGGCCAGTGGCGAAGGTGGTGCAGCCGAGCCTAGGGTCGGCATGGCGGGCACAGAGAGCCAGGGTCATGGCACAGGCGGGAGATCAGTGAGTACCAACCAGGGTTTCCTTTTGCTTTTTAGTCCTCTGCTCTAATGTGGTCGTCAAGCCCTCAAAATTATGTCTTGTAGGACCATATACAAAAATCTGACTGGTAACTTGTTTATTAATACTGAATGGTGATGCTAACATTTATAACTTTTAAAAACATTCTGCACTAGGGCTGAGTGTCTTTCAATGATTGAAATGTTTCTTTGAGACTTTTCCATGGGAATGGCAGCAGAGTGCAAAGGTCGCCGTTTCCTGACCTCAAATTGCCTGCATTTAGGTATTTCACCAACAAACCCGCTGCAGCCCACTTTCCAACCTCTTGTCTGCCTTCATTCGTTTATGGTAACCATTATGTCCTGTTGTGGTCATCCTGCTTACTGTACCCGTGTCCTTGCTTCTAGCTTTTGAGGTAGACCTGTTTTTTGTTTGTTTGTTTTTGTGGGAGAAGTTTTTGCTATAGGGTGTGCATGCTCACCAGAAAGAGAGAGAGAAAGACAGAAAGTGAGAAATCACCCCCCAGAGAGGATGGCCATGCTGTAGTCCCTTCTCCTCCATTCTCCTCTTGGTATCTTGGGCATGCACGCACGTGCGCCCGGCATGAGTTTAAGCCACTGGGTCCAGGACTCGAACCACAGTTAACTACATGGGAGTCCAGCAATATAGCCACTACGCTAACTGCTGGTCCCAGGTAGACCTGTTTTGGGGAACTTTCTACTTGGTTTATTCTTATTAGACACTCACTTGGTAGCATATTAGATATAGGTTTTTCTCTAGATTTGCTGGGCCTTTCATTTCAAAGGAAAACTAGGGTCCGGTTGGTATTGTGGTGGCTGGGGTGGCTGGATCCCACATGGCCAACTGTGTGAGTCTAGTCCCAGATCTGGTGGCTTAGGGAGCATGCCAGGTGTGTGTGCATATGTGCTCAAAATCTCAAAAGGAGGGAAATGGGAAAGGGATTGTGGTGTGAGCATGCCCAGGGAAGGGGTATTTCTTTCACTCTGTCACTCTCTGGCAAGTCTACACACCCTGAGGCAAAATTTAAATTAAAAAAAAAAAAAGTATGTTTTTTCCAGTCGTACTGAGCATCTGCTCTTCACTTCTCAGTCTCAGCTCTTCCCCCTTAGGGCTCCAGGTGGTCATGAGGGGTGAAACACCCGAGGGTAGATGAGCCAGAATCTCACTCACCCCCCATTTCCACTCAGAAACCACTACATCTGAAAGACGGTGGCCAGCTCAATTTCCCCACTTTGATATGAGCACCCCTCAAACCTGCCTGGTCCTAATCACTTTCGCAGTTGCTTCGAATCTGTTGGCTAACTCTTTGGAGCATTAGACAGGACTGCTGCACGGACTCTCGGATTCATCAGTACAGTTCACCAGAAACGAGTTTATTCAAGAGGTGCCTTGAGCACAGGCTAGTGTAGCATGTTCCCACCACACTGTGATATGCACAGAAGCCCTACGATCAGAGCTGTACAACGAAGAACCAGACAGACGTGCTGGATGCTGGTGTACACGTATGTGCAAATGTTTTGAAAACTGAAGAAAAACTATTCTAATGACCATACTTACTGTAGACTTCTGAGATCACCATTGTAGAACTGGAAAAGCACTTGAACAGATGAAAATGAACAAGGTTTGTTCTGTGACAAGAGCACCAATATTCAAGAACAAGGACAAAAAGAGGAAAACTGTATTCAAGGAGATGTTTAGAATTGTTGTTCAGAACTAGAAACCACTGTTCCAACAGCACGGAATTGGTCAGTATATTGTTGGCAGTTAAGTTTCAGTTTGCATTCTTAAGATGCATACTGCATTTTAGGGCTCTCAAACTGCTAAGATTTGACCAAACAAATCCCTTAAGGTCTCTTTTTCTTCCCCCTTTCTGGAGAGAATTGCTGGTCATCCTCTTGAGCTTTCCACATCTCTCATTCCCGCTACCAGCAGGAAGTGACATAGGGGCTGGAGCATCCCCAGAACTGAGGCTGTCCTACCAGCAGAAGTTCCCAGAGCACGGCCATGGAATACAACAGGGAAGGTAGCCCCTCAAAACAGCCACGTGCTCATGCAGCTGCATAAGGGGGCAGGAAAATAGGCTCAAAGATCTGAATTTATCAAAAACTTGTGTATTATCGTGCCAGCACTCGGAGATGCGTAAGGATGGGCTAATAAGTTAGGTCAGGGTAATACTGTTCCGAAGCAGCTGTAAGGCATTAAACACTCGTGACATTCTTGGGCAGCCCATAGGTGAGTTAAAATAGCGTTGGGACCTACAGATGGCGTAATGGTTACATCACTGGACTCCTACACAGTCAACCACAGTTCAAGTCCTGGATCTGGTGGCTTAAAACTCAGGCTGGTACATGTGCATGGATGCCCGAAATCCTGAGAGGAGAAGGGATTGTGGTGTGGCCGTCCTTCCTGGGGAGGTGCTTTCTTGCTTTCTGTCTTTCTCTGTCTCTCCAGTGAGCGCATGTGCCTGATAGCAAAAATCTCTCAAAAAAAAAAAAAAAAAATTCAGTGTTTGCAGACATGGACATGAAATTGTGTAAAGTTATTAATTTTTCATATTATCTGAATGAAAATAGTATTTTGTTTATACTATTGAGTTCCTTAAAAATATATCTGGATAGGTATAAGGCTTTTCCCTTTTTGGTATATAGCATAATTATTGGTTCCAGAAAAAATTAAGGCCAAGGACCCAAATTCCAGGCCTAATTTTTCTCAGAATCTAAACAGTCCTCTACCTTACAAACTTAAGCTTTTATCCTTCCCTTTAAAGTGTAAAAGGGATTTGTAGTTCCACAAAGTTGGTAATTTTGTCTCTATTCTTCCCATCACTATCTTTGGAAATAATTTTAAATGTACAGTCTTGAAATGACATTTTTTAAAAAAACAACCAAAAGCTGCTAATGAGGCAACCTATTTGGAGCAGCTACTGAAAGGAAATGAAAGGCAAGAAATGAAAAGAGGACAAATTATTGGTTTAAAACTATTATAGTCTTTTGAAAAAGATGCAACAGTTCTCCCAGCCATGGCAGTGTGATTCAAGACTGAATTCCAAATTACTGAAGAAAGAGTAAGTCCACTTTCCCGGGGCTTTTCTGTCAGCTTTGTCCTTTTGTTTTGTTACATACGGTGGTAGAAGGACCTCCAGAAAGATTTCTCCCGCATTCTTTGCTCAGGTTTATAGAACCATGGCTTCCCACACTTGCGTTAACTTCTCTTTGCTGACGGTGTTGAGGATAATGTGATTTTGATCGTACTGTGAACCACCTGAAAGAGAAAAGGAAAACAATAAAAGGAAGTGTGCCTGTGGTAAATGGACTAGAGCAGCCACAGTTTACCCCAACATCGGGATAGGAAAGCAGGTGGTGTGGTTAAGGGTGCTGGACTCCTGCATGGCCAACTGCAGTTTGAGCCCTGGACCTGGTGGCTTGCTTTCCCATTTTCCCTTTCTCTCCCTCTCTCACTCTGTCCCTCTCTGGCCAAATTAAATAATGTTTTTGTTTGCTTGTTTTTTAAAAGGTAAACAGGGTGTAAAGCTGCTTCACTTGGGAAATAGAGCAGGAGAGGAGCTCTGAATGCCCTCTTGAGATGAGAGGCTCAACGTCCGGTAGGCAGATCAGTTAAAATCCCATAGCGAGGCACCAGCAACCTTCCGCCGCTTCTTTTCTACCCAGTTCTTAAAAGCTAGTGCATAGTCACTTGTAACAGTGTCTGAAACTGGGGGAACAGGGCAGAATCTAGGGAAGGGAAAAGGAGTGGAGGATTCTCTCCAGGGGTGAGCGGGTAGATTTGAGATCTAGGCAGAGTCCTCCTTATCCTGTATGCTCAAGACCGGAAGTGTTTGAGATTTCAGATTCTGGAATAGTTGCACATATGTCACACGATGAGATATGCTGGAGATGGGATCCACGTCAACACAAAATACATGTATATTTCATATACACCTTACATATGCAAGCTACAGTAGTTTTATACAGTATTCTTATGTTGCAATTTTTTTTTTTGAGAGGTTTTCGTCATAGGGCGCATGCACTCACCAGACAGACAGAGACAGAGAGACAGAAAGCGAGAAATCACCCCCCATATATTGCAATGTTTTGACTGTGACCTGTCACTTGATGTCAAGGGTGGAACATTCCATTTATGATATCATGTCAGAGTTCAAAGAGTTTGGGATTTTGGAGCATTTAGGAGTATTAGATTAAGAATGGTCAACCTGTACCAGCAGGGAAAAGGCAGGTAGACCTGGCATTAGTGGAAAGGTCAGAGAGGTGGTCGGAAAGGTTTTACACGAACCGTGAAAGATGGTTGTATTAGGGTGAGGGGGAGGTTTGCATAGCATCCTGTTAGGAATGCCTTTGATGTCTAAAAATTCACAGCCTGGGAGATGCTCACTGCCATTGTACTATAAAAGGAGTATTATAAACTCCATAACTCTTTTATCAGCATGTGTGTAAGAAGATTTTCCAAGGGTGCTTACTGGATATTTCAGTGCTTCAGTATTTAAAACTGCCTCATGGCTTCTTTCAATACAGAAGTATCATTAAAAAAAGAAAGGGTTATAATTTTCCCCCCAATGTGGATGGAATAAACAACCTTTCCGAAAACATCATGTTTTAGCATTCGCTTCTGCATCAAAGATCCATCAAAGTAAAAACCTTTGTGTCTAGAGGAGGCATGATGAACTGAACTCATCCTTTATCCTAAGATCAGGGAGAAATAAAATTCTTCTCCTTCACAATATTTACAAAAATATCAAAAAGATCTGGAAATTTACACAATAAATCTAGGTTGTTGAGGAAGTCTTCTCTTTTATTTTTAAGAATTGTTTAACAGGACCAGCAGTTAGCATAATGGCTATGTTGCTGGACTCTCATGTAGTAGGCCACAGTTCGAGTCTCAGATCCTGTGGCTTAAACTCACACCAGATGCACGTGCGTGCATGCTTAAGATCCTGAGAGGAGAATGGAAAAGGGACTGTGGTGTGGCCATCCCCCCTGGGGGGTGATTTCTCACTTTCTGTCTTTCTGTCTGTCTCTTTCTGGTAAGCACATGTGCTCTATAGCAAAAACCTCTCCCCACCAAAAAAAATTATTTAACTTTATTTTCATTTGATCAGAAAGGGACAGAGTGAGAGCAAGCGAGAGACAGAAAGTGAGAAAGCAAGCCACCATGTCCAGGACTCAGACCACAGTCAGCCATGTGGGAGTCCAGCGTCCTTAGCTACCACACCACCTGCGAACCCCAGAAAGTCCTATCTTAAATGGTTGTAAGAGATCAGTGTATTATCATTGATAATCTAGAGTTTCCACCCAGCTAGATGTGGTGCAGAATACAAGGACAAGTTACCTGGGGCCTTTTATGTGTAAGTCTGCAGTTGGGAAAGAAGTCGTCAGCACCACCAAACCCTACAATCCCTGGTGAGGTACACACCCAACATAACCCCACTGAAGCTTCAGGAAATGACACGTTAAGGTCACAATGTTCAAGATTAACAGGATCTGAACGGACTTTTCATACATATTGTATCCATTCTAATTAGAATGATGAAGACTAGAAATAACTTGATTCATTCTTTTGCCTCTGGAAAGAATTTCAGTAATTCCCGATGTTTTTTAAGTTTCTACTGTTATCTGTCCTAAGGTGTGCAGCCTGGAATAATAGATGAATGTCTACTGAAACAGCTCACTCTCCAAACAAGAGGGGCTAGGAGACTCTTGATCTAACAGATCTTAGGACAGTTTTAACAGGAAGCAGATGGTCAACAACTGTAGATAATCAACATCATGGTCTCCCATGAAGTGTACCAAGGAGTGCCTAGAATGTGGGTTGTGGGGCCCTACTCTCTCATGTCCACAAGATGGCAACATTCTCCCACATTCTGAGAAACTGACTATTACTATTCTGAGAGTACACACAGAACATTTTCCTTACTCAAGAGGCACCTGACAGACGTAGAATGTGTTCTAGGAAGAGGCCTTGGAGCTTTCAAATGAAGATGTAAGGGGGATGCCCCTAGAGTCTTACAGTTCACATCGCATGTGGAAAAATCCTGTCTGCTTGGAGCATCTAGAATGTGACTCTGAAGCAAAGGTAGTCATGTTTTTTCTTTCCTACTTTGGTACTCCCTGTGTCTACTACAGAGCCTGTCATATAAGGGGTATCCAATAAATGTATGTTGAAAGAAGAAATGCTCTAAAGATTACAGTGACCTCAACCCTGCCTGCCCACCAACCCCCAGCTGATTGCATTTGTAAGAAATATGAAGATCTGTTCAGCCTTTCCGTTTGGGACTAAATACTCTAATTTTCTAGCTTTTTTCCCCCCAAAACACTACTTTTCCTATTTAGTCAGACTCATTTGGCCTCTCAGTTTTTGAAACTATGTTATATAGACTGAGGAGCCCCAGTGCCACAGAACTGATCAAAAGAATAAAGACCCTAACCAGTAACTTTGTTCCCCGATTCTATAATTTCTTATATTTCATTATTGTACATCTTTATGGCATATAATATGGTTTTTCAAAGCATGCATGCAATGTACAACAATTAAATCATGAATATTACTATATATACCATTCTCAACAAAGAACTTATATTTTTCTGTTCATTAAATGCTTTTTCCTCAGTCTCTTCCCTTCTGCTATCCACCCCCACGCCCCATACAGTCGCTGGTATCTACATTTGTCCTCTCTACTAGGATGTCTTCCACCCCCACCG